TCCAGGATAGCCAAGGCTTTATAGAGAAACCCTGCCTCAAACAAACAAAACCCAAACCCAACAACAACAAAATGCTTCTAGAAGTGTGTCCACAAAACATCTTAAGACAATAGCGTATCTGTGAACCAAACACGAAGAGGGAATGACTAAGCCCACACCTTATTGTGCCCAGTGAGGGTGTTGCCTTTCTGCCACGCTTGTCAACTGAAAAACACCTCTTAAAGGCTAGAAATTTCACACGTCTAATATGAAGCAAGAGTTTTGGTTGCCTGCTTTCATATATAGTCAAATGAAAATATCAGTGTCACATGACAGCAGGGAAAGAAAAATTCAGGAAGTAAAGAAACTTATACTTCCTGGAAAGTTCCTGAAACTTAGGAGACCGGCTCCCCAAGGTTATATAAGCACTAACAACTGCTGGAGGATGAGCCTATTTGTCTTTTTTTTTTTTTTTTTTTTTCCAGAGCTGAGGACCAAACCCAGGGCCTTGCGCTTGCTAGGCAAGCGCTCTACCACTGAGCTAAATCCCCAACCCCGAGGATGAGCCTGAGCCTAGCTGCCTGCAAGTTGTCCAAAAAAACCGAAAGAGCACAGCTTTTGTGAGTCATCAGCCATGCTGGAGTCAGAATGTCAGCGACGCGGCTGCCTTGGAGTCACCCGTGTCTCAGTAAGTGACCCCAAAAAAATGTTCACTCAACTAAGCTAGACTTAGGCACAATTGCTAATTCAGTGTGCCACCAGTGCCCCATCTGGGGTACGCAGGCATCTGTTCACATCTCCCAAAAAAGGAAGCACAACAAAACCACTCATGTTAGATTATGGCAAAGACTCTAGCTGCATTCCGCCCCTGTCCTGAGAACTTGAGAGAGGCTAGATTCAAAAGCAATGGAATTGTTTGGTGGAGGGAATGTGAACTCTGCCCACTGCTCTTATCCAGGTCTACAGTTAAAATGAGTGGCAAGTGGAATAGAAAGATGTGATCTGATCCATAAGCTTGAGGCAAAGAGAAAGCTACCTGGAAATGTTGTGGGCTTTTAAAACCTCAAAGCCCACCCCTAGTGACACATAGTTCAATAAGGCCACACTTCCTAATCTTTCCCAAACAGTTCCAGTAACTGGTGTCACATATTCAAGCATATGGTGCCATTCTCATCAAACCACCTCAACTACTGAGCCATCTCTCCAGCCCAAATGTTCAGTTTTTCAAGGTTTTACACGTGAAAACCAGCAGCTGGGAGAAAGCTGAGCCCATCTCTGGCACCAAATCTGAAAGTGAATAGTATCCTTTGGTTAAAGTGATAGAAGCAAAATCCACAGTGGAGAAGTGAGTCATAGACAGGCAAAAAAGCTCATCACAGCACAGCAAAGGTCCTATAGACTCAGGCTACTATCAACAGCGAAGGGACTTCAGTAGAGGAAAACCTAAAAATTTACCCTAGAGAGAAGGAGGCAAGCAGCCTGCATGGAAGACAGACAGCCACGTGAGAAAGCCACCTGAGGCTGGAACATTGCCAATATCAAAGCTGGGGTTAGAAGCTAACTATATACAAAACCTGGAATGCTGCTGGGAAAATACGCCAATGTGATGGTTCTGCAGGCAGTTCCTTCACCATTACTGCCATCAACATGTGCTTACTGAGATCAACAAGCACAGACGATAAGGAAGGGAGACAGAGAGGCTCACAGAGAAGCTGCCCTCACACAAAGCTTGCTGGGAAGTGAAGGAGGGATTAGCTGGCCCATGAACACTGACCTTATAGAAACCACAAAAGAAGGCAATGGATCAGCATCCAGAAACTACACAGACATCAGCACATCACTGTGGAAACAGCTTAGCAGGAAACAGATAGAGGGTACAGACAGATGATTCATGGAGACTTAAAGGAACAGACATGCAGAAATACTCCAACCTTGCTGGTATTGCAAATCAAGGGAGGGAAGTGGGTGGATGGATGGATGGCCATCTGACTGATACATATATTCTGTGTAGGAGTAAATAACAAAATTCTGACAAGGATGCAGGAAAGAATACAGTGGAAGCATCTAACAGAGCTGTATATGTGCCACTTCTCAAAAATCCCACTTCCGGGGAAACTTCTAGAGGAATTCACACACAGGTCCACAGGGAGATATTTACCAAGTGTTCATTGTAGCAGTGTATATGTAGAGAAACTAAAAATATCCTAAATGTCTCCTCAAGCATAGATGTGTGATCCCAATGTTAGAACTTCTGTAATTTTTGAGACCTCAAAGAAACTGACCAGATCCACAGTCAAGTTTTAACACTATGACAAAAAAAGCTACATGTCACATTCCAGCACACCCTGCCCTGCACACAGACATGTCGGCATAAAACACTAGAGCAGACTACAGGGTGGTCCACACAGGACGCCACAGCACACACGCCTCTTAACCCTCCTGAACACAGCTGCAAATCCTCAACAGCGCACGTGGAGCAGCTACTGGAGATCTATGACAGGTTAGCAGCATATGAGCTAGGAAATGAGAACAGCGCATGAAGTACCACCAAACCACCAGCTCCCATTGGCCTGGACGCAGACGTACAGAAGGCTCAATCTCAGTCTTAAGGCAAAGAAAGACAGGGTCTGCTGGCAGCCACAGTGATAGCAGGAGCCTCAGGCAACTCAAATGCTGCAGAAGGGAATTCTTCCCACTTTGGTAGCTGCAGGAGCTAAGCAGCAGCCACAGTAATACTTTAGGGTACACCAAGCCTCAGCATTCTAGATGTGGACTAAAAATGGGGGCTTTGGGGGAACAACAAAGCACTACAGTCATCATGGACAGTCAGCATTTCAGGAAAGTTACTCCATAGGGCTATCTGTGAATTCCTAGCCTCACCCCAAGCTGGGCATATATGGATGTCATCATACACAGCATTATTCTCTGGGCCTCTAACAAGCCCCTGAGTGGCACCAGGAGATGCATAGGGCAGCTCCACCAGCATGGGTGGAATCTAAGGTATTACAGACATGGGGCTGATACTGAAACAACACCATGACTTGGGACTCAAATCCAACTGGACTGTTGCATTTTCCAAAGGCTTTAAACATGAAGCTTCTAACATAATATTCCCAATGCCCAGGATACTTCCAAAATTATTCAGCATACAAAGAGAAAAAAAATAATCTCATCTGCATGGGAAAAGATAAGAAACAACAAGGCCAAGATGGCACGAATGCTGAAAGTATCTGCACAGACTTTAAAGAGGATACTGAACTAAATAAGACAAACCTGCAATGCATAAAACACATACTTGGAAGACTATATCACAGGAGGAGCCCTAATAATCCCCAAAATTTCCTGCTATGGGGCTACATGTCAGCACAGGAATGTTTACCTTGTGAAAAGCACTAAATTCCATTCCCAGAACCAACCTCCCGCTCCCCCCAAAAAAGGAAAATAGCTTTCCTGGCCTAATCCCCAAGTCTATATATACATCATACTCTGATAAAGTTAAATTGCATGGCAAAGGAGGTTCTGAAGATGCAATCACAGTTACTAATCAACAGGCTCTGAGCTGATTAAAAATGTTTATCCAATATGCCTAATCTAAACACATGAGCCCATAGAAAGCGAGATGACTCTTGGGCAACAGAGAAAGTCTTATACACACTGTGATGGATAATCATTATCAACTCAACTGAATTTAGAGTCACCATGAAAAAGCAACTCTGAGGATGTTTCCAGAAGGTTTGAGAGGGAAGACTCATCCTGAATGTAAATGATACTGTCCTATGGTCTGGAGTCCTAGACTGATTTATAAAAAGGATAAAGTAGGCTGGTAAGTTGGTTAGATGGGTAAATATTTCTCACTAAGCCTAGCTGACCTGTGTTCAATTCTTGAAACTCCACAGCAGAGAGAACTGATGCCCATTAGTTGTCCTCTAAGTGCCACATGCATGCTATACCATGCACACAAATTCACGAGGAGCACACATGTGCACACACACAAATAAGAAAACAGTTAAAACTCTCTTTAAAAGAAGAAAGTGAGCTGAGTATCAGCATTCGCCCTGTCTCCTGACTATAGATGCCATGTGACCAGCTGCCTCACACTGCTGCCACAATGTCTTCCCTGCCATGAGAGGCTGCACCTTAAACTGTGAACATAAACAAAAGCCTTCCTTCTTTAAAGTGCTTTGTCACAGTAACCAGGAAGGTAACTAATACAGATGCCAATTATAAAAAGCACTGTGGCATTCTTGACCTCCTGTCTCTTGCCTTCTTACACTCCTGCCTTCTCCCCTTTCTCTGTTGGGGCACCCCTCCCCTTCCCTATCATGTCTCACTCTCTCCTCTCTCTCGCCATCTAATAAACCTCTTTCATTAAAAAAAAAAAAAAAAAGCAGCACTGTGGGGGTGGTGTGAGAAAAAAGCAGTCATCCCTGGACAGAATTTAGCTGCCCACCTGAAAGAATAGAACAAGGAGGCAGATTCTTACAGAGCCTCTTCAAAGTACCCGGCTGAGCACCACCTTGGTTTTGGCCATGTGAGACTCCCAGCAGAGGATATGGTCAAGCCAACTCAGATCCTGTCCTACAACACTGAGATACTAAATAGAAATTTGTCATGATTTGTTACAATGACTTAAGAAAATAGCTACAAATTTTACCTGGGTAGGAAACTGCCATAGCAAACACCTACTGAAGTTCATTCTGAGTAACTAATAACACAACCCTGAAATATTTAGAATCTTAATGTTCCTTTTCTTGACTCATTTTTTTTTTCTGAAATACTATTTAACCCAACAGTCGGCAGGCTGAAGCAGGAAGAAGTTAAGTTCAAGACCATCTTGTATTAAACATTGACCCTATCTCAAATAAAATTAGATAAAATATAATATATCCCTTAAGTCCTCGGGCAATTTGCTTCCTGTTTTTTAGAACTGCTAAATCAACTGTGCTTACTTTAAGAAAGGCTGCATCAGCCTAATATAAGCACTATGCAAGATGAGAGGCTGTGAGCTATTATCTACATACACTTTGAGTTTGGTGCACTGGCCAGGCTTTAAGTCCCCCAGCAGCTGCAACATGGTGTCCAAGAGCACCCGGCTGGAATTCACCAAGAATTCACGACCACATGCGATGGCAGCGACATCTGCAGAAGACAGAACAAATCATCAAGATTACAGGCACAGCACAGAACACATTGACGGACGGATAGGGGAGACTCACAAAGGTTCTCTCTAAGCTCTACTACATATCATGGCAGGAACACACGTGCATTTCACTCTATTTCTGTCTCTCTCTCTCTCACACACAATGATGATGGTGATGGTGGTGGTGATTTTTTTTTTTTTTCCCAAAAAGATCACAGGTGCTTCACAATCTGGAAAATTCTACTTAGTAGATAGTATATTCTCTGATTTTCTCTTTACAGAGCCAAGGAAATCCAGGTAACCAATGAGCATTTAAAACAGTGTTGTTGGTAGAGCTGACATGGTACCGAAACAGGAGCTGACAACAGTAAGAGCTATTACAAATCAGAAAGTGATGTCATAAACCACGGCAGGGAGCACTAAGACTTGGGTGTCTGCAACACCACACCCAGAACAACAGATCAACAGCTATCTGGTCCAAGCAGAAAGTAGAGCTGATGACTCTGTACCTGGGACCAAGTATTGAAAAATCCTTTAAGAATTGGCTAATGACTTTTAATTATGACATGAAACAGGAATCATATGTCAGAGGTATAGCATGAAAACCAAATCTGAACAGACTTCCTAAATGTTCTGCCCTATTGTGATCAGCAAATATACATTTTCATACCTCAGGCTCTGCAAATGAGCATGGAGACCAGACCAAGGGCTGGTACTTCAAGTACTAGCTCTACCAGTATCCACACAGAACTGTAAGGATTTACCAGTAATCCGAGTACACAATGCACCTCTCTGTAGTGTCTTCTTCAGTCAGGACTAAGAAGAAGACATGATGCAAAATGATGAAGGTCAATCCAAGATAGAAGGGGATGGAGCAGCAGCAGCCTGTCTTCCCTTGACTAACAAAACCAATCATAGGGATCCAGGTCAGTGGAGTATCTCATCTGTTCACAGTACTTACTCCATCAAATGGTCTTCTGATCTCCACACACACTATGTGAAACACACACACATACATGCACACATACAATAATTATATTTTTTATAAATATAAATATTTATAAATGTATATAATTATAAATATAATATAAATAATATATATATATTTTAAAACACAGTGGGTACTGCAAAGATGGCTTGGTAGTTTTTGCTCAGGCAGGTCACTCTGCATTGTCTACTTAAAATCCTAATGGTAAATGGTGTAAAGTCCCACAAACAAGTAACAAAGTCACTATCCCAATTTCATTGCAGTACTATGGTGGTTGAATAAGAATGGCCTGTTTCTATTCCACAAAATAGAAAGAGAAGGAACATTACCAAACTCATTCTATGAAGCCACAGTCACCTTGATACCCAAACCTCACAAAGACCTAACAAAGAAAGAGAATTTCAGGCCAATCTCCCTTACGAACATTGATGCAAAAATACTCAATGAAATACTCGCAAACTGAATCCAAGAACACATTAAAGACATCATCCACTATGACTAAGTAGGCTTCATCCCAGGTATGCACGGGTAGTTCAATATACGGGAATCCATCAATGTAATCCACCATATAAACAAACTAAAAGAAAAAAACCCACATGACTGTCTCCTTAGATGCTGAAAAAGCATTTGATAAAATCCAACATTCGTTTATGTTTAAAGTCCCAGAGAGATCAGGGATACAAGGCACTTACCTAAACACAGTAAAGGCAGTATACAGCAAACCTATAGCCAACATCAAACTAAATGGAGAGAAACTTAAATCAATCCCACTGAAATCAGGAACAAGGCGGGCTGCCCACTCTCTCCATATCTTTTCAACATAGTTCTTGAAGTCCTTGCTAGAGCAATAAGACAGTTAAAGGAATTCAAGGGCATTCAGTTCAGAAAGGAAGAAGTCAAAGTATCACTATTTGCAGATGATATAATAGTATACATGAGTGACCCCAAAATTTCTACCAGGGAACTCCTACAGCTGATAAACACCTTCCGTAAAGTGCCTGGATAAAAAAATTAACTCAAAAAAATCAGTAGCCCCCTGTATACAAAAGACAAACAGGCTGAGAAAGAAATTAGGGAAACAACACCCTTCACAATAGCCACAAAGGACACAAAGTACCTTGGTGTAACTCTAACCAAGCAAGTCAAAGACTTATATGAAAAAATCTTCAAGTCTCTGAAGAAAGAAATAGAAGATATCAGAAGATGGAAAGATCTCCCATGCTCATGGCTTGGCAGGATTAACATAGTAAAACTGGCCATCTCACCAAAAGCAATCTACAGATTCAATGCAATGCCCATCAAATTACCAACACAGTTATTTACAGACCTTGAAAGAAAAATTCTCAACTTCAAACGGAATAAATAACAAGAAACCCAGAATCACTAAAACAATCCTCTACAATAAAAGATCTTCTAGAGGTCTCTCCATCCCTGATCTCAAGCTGTACTGTAGAGCAATGGTAATAAAAACTGCATGGTACTTGCATAGAAATAGGTTGGTGGATCAATGGAATCGAATAGAAGACCCAGAAATAAACCCACACACTCATGGACAACCTGATTTTTGACAAAGATGCCAAAACCATCAATGGAAAAAGAATAGCATCTTCAACAAGTGGTGCTGGCCTAACTGGATGTCTACATGTAGAAAAATGCAACTAAATCCATACTTATCACCCTGCACAAAATTAAAGTCCAAGTGGATCAAAGACCTCAACATAAAACCAGACACACTAAACTGTTACAAGAAAAAGTGGGGAAGAGCCTTGAACTCAATGGCACAGGAGACAACTTCCTGAACAGAACACCAACAGCACAGACATCAATAAATGGGACCTCATGAAACTGAAAAGCTTCTGTAGAGCAAAGGACACTGTTGTCAGAACAAAACAACAGCCTACAGATTGGGAAAGAATCTTCACCAACCCTGTATCTGACAGGGTGCTAATATCCAGAATATATAAAGAACTCAAGAAGTTAAATAGCAATAAAATCAAGTAATCCAATTAAAAAATGGGATACAGAGCTAAACAGAGAATTCTCTGTAGAGGAATATCAAATGGCAGAGAAACACTTAAAGAAATGTTCAACATCCTTAGTCATCGGAGAAATGCAAATCGAAACAAACCTGAGATTTCACCTTACACCCATCAGAATGGCTAAGATCAAAAACTCAAGTGACAACACATGCTGGAGAGGATGTGGAGAAAGGGGAACCCTCCTCCATTGCTGGTGGGAACGTAAACTTGTACAACCACTTTGGAAATCAATCTGGTGCTTTGTCAGACAATCAGGAATACTGCTTCCTCAAGATCCTAAGCACATATCCAAAATATGCTCAAGTATACAACAAGGACATTTGTTCAACCATGTTTGCAGCAGCTTTATTTGTAATAGCCAGAATATGGAAACAACCCAGATGTCCCTCAGTTGAGGAATGGATACAGAAATTGTGGTACATTTACATAATGGAATACTACTCAGCAATTAAAAACAAGGAAATAATGAAATTTGCAGGCAAATGGTGGGAACTAGAAAATATCATCCTGCGAGAGGTATCCCAGAAGCAGAAAGACACACATGGTATATATTCACTTATAAGTAGATATTAGACATATAATATAGGATAAACATACTAAAATCTGTATACCTAACAAAGCAAAGCAATAAGAAGGACCCTGGGTAAGATGCTCAATCCTCATTCAGAAAGGCAAATAGGTTAGACATCAGAAGAGGGCAAAAACAAAGAACAAAACAGGAGCCTACCACAGAAGGCCTCTGAAAGTCTCTACCCAGCAGGGTATCAAAGCACATGCTGAGACTCATAGCCAAACTTTGGGCAGAATTCAGGAAATCTTATGAAAGACGGGGGAGATAGAAAGACCTGGAGGGGACAGGAGCTCACAAGGAGAGCAACAGAATCAAAAAATCTGGGCACAGGGGTCTTTTCTGAGACTGATACTCCAACCAAGGACCATTCATGGCAATAACCTAGAACCCCTGTACAGATGTAGCCCATGGCAGCTCAGTCTCCAAGTGGGTTCCTTAGTAAGAGGAACAGGGGCTGTCTCTGACATGAACTCAGTGGCTGGCTCTTTGATCCCCTCCCCCTGAGCGGGGAGCAGCCTTACCAGGCCAAAGAGGAAGACAGTGCAGCCCGTCCTGATGAGACCTGATAGGCTAGGGTCAGATGTAAGGGGAGGAGGACCTCCCCTATCTATGGACTGGGGAAGGGGCATGGGAGAAGAGGGAAGGAGGGCAGGATTGGGAGGGGCCAAGAGAGGGGGCTACAGCTGGAATACAAAGTAAATAAACTGTAATAAATTTTAAAATTTAAAAAAAAGAGTGGCCTGATGGGCTCATATATTTGAATGCTTACTAATCAGGAGTGTCACTATTTCAGAAGGAATAAAAGGTTTAGGAGGTGTGGCCTTGTTGGAGGAAGTGTATCACTGGGAGTTTCAAACGCTCATGCCAGGCCCAGGTTCTTTCTTTCTTCCTTCCTTCCTTCCTTCCTTCCTTCCTTCCTTCCTTCCTTCCTTCCTTCCTTCCTTCCTT